ATAGCGCCCATAATCCCATATTGATAGGCAAAAGCTATATCCCAGCGTGTGCTTCCAGGAATTTAGTGAACGATGTTGTTTTCCCCCAAACGTGTTCGATGCCTGGGGTTTGCAATGTCTCTGGAAAATAAATCATGATCTGAGTCCTCAAGCATCGTGGAGCGCAAACAGCGCCGAGCTCTTCCTCAGATTTCCATGGCATATGGCGACCTTGGGGTTGGTCTTAGCTATGGGTTGGGATGTTTGTAAAATGGTCAGTGAAAATCATTTAACATATGTAAACATGGGGAAGATATGGGAAGATAATATGTTTATATAACTTTAAACTTTAAATTGTCAAATTCATGGGAAAAATTCGGGAGCACAAGGTTTTTGATTGGTTGACCATGATAGGTCATGATGAGTCACGGTCTGGACCTCCACTCTGGTCCACGCAACAGACTCCTCGGCGCCCTGATCTTGGAGGGGCCTTCTGTACAACCCTGTCGCATGTTTACAAGGCACAAGTCCTTAAACCGAGCCGCCAAGGTCGCCCCTGTCCTGAGCGCCACCGTGCTGGCGGCAAGCTGTCCAGCATCCCAACCACTCCAGAAGACCGCGCCCCAATAGTCGCGGAGCCTTCCCGGCTTCGGAAACACGGGGTCATCAGACCTCTGCCTGGCGATCTCGGCCGGGCTGGCGTCCAAAATGGCCTTGTCGAAGTCGATGACATAAAGACGCGCGGGCCCATGGCCAACCGAGCCCCAGATCATCTCCGAGTCGTGCAGAAAAACGCCGAAGGTTTCGAGGTATCCATGCAACAACAGATACATTTTTTCCATCAACAAGGGCGCTGGGACCCTCGATGATCGAGCCGGCACTGGCTGACAAATCAGGTTGACCCAGCTGAACTGACAGCAGCATCCCATCCTCCTTGGGCATCGCCGGCAGCGCGGGGTCCGGACGCAGCAGCTCCATGATGACGTAGCCCCGGGATTTCTCCCGTTCGCCCTGCAGGAAACCGGTCTCAAAGCACTTCAGCAACTGCGCCATGCGTGGCACCTGTGTTCCCAGTGCTGCCAGCAGCTGTGAGGCAAGCTTGTAGATTACCATCTCCATGATTTCTTTTTCGCACTCGCCCTTCGATGATGAAGCATCCATACCCTCGATAGAGACTTTCATGGCGTGCACACCATCCGTAAAGATGACTCCGAAGGTGCCAGAGTTCGTGACATGCCAATGTAGCAGGTTGGCTGGCAGCAGCCTTCGCCTGTCAGATTCCTCTTGTTCGCGCTGACGCCTCTCCAGAGTCTCCTTGGAAGGAGGTTTTAGTCGACAGGGGCGCTCTCGCAGCGACTGCATTGGATCGAAAGGTTGGCGTTTCTGCGTAAGGAATTGGGTTGGCTCGAGCTGTCAACAGCTCTGTGGGACATGTCCTTGACTGTGATCTACGCTGAACCACTGGCCAAGCTCATATGAGTTGGTGGTCCGGGATCTCCCATGATTTCCTATGGATTGTGATCATTCCCAATATATTGGGTGGGTGGTAGAGCCCCCCATTTCACAACCAATCAAGAATGGTATTGTGAATGGTTCATATCTTGGACAAGCACCAGCACAGCAGTGATCAGGGTCCAAGCAGATAGCGTGGCAGGGTGGAAAGCTTCAAGGAACTCCAAAGCACCTGCAGTGAAGGCCCGCATAGGAGGTCCTGGCATCTTAATAACACAGGAGGTTTCATGGATATACAGCCTAGATTTGGTTCATGGTTTCATATATTTACGGTTTGAAAATATCGTGTTTCATGTATGTATGTATATTTAATAACTATATATATATATATACAGTATATATGACTCATGTGACTGTGTGTGTGTGTGTACATTAGCCAAAAAATCATTCTAAACGAGCCTCAGTCTGACTCACGTATACTCAATGGCGAAACCACTGATTTTGGAGGACATCAATCCGAAATCAAACGATGTGGAAACCTGGGGAAACCTGGGGGAAACCGGCAACCTGGGGAAACCTCGGGAAACTTGGGGGAAACCACAGAATTTCTTCAGAACCACTTAGCACTGCACGGCTCTCAAGCCCCGCCACCACAAGGGAGGCCACCACCTAAAACGACTTGGTGCGCCGTTGGTTTCACAAGGTTTGCACCAACAAAGATGGGTCATTGAGCCAATAAACACAGGGGGGTAATACTCGTAATACTGGTTAACCCACAAACATGGGAATGTTCTATGGGAACATCGTGGAATACACTGGGGATATCTCAACAGATGGATATAATGAGGGTTGATTTAATGGTTCTGTACCCTGTCATCAAACATGGCTGGAACATCCTATATCAACGGGTCTTAAAAAGTGAAAATCATCGAATTTTGGATAGGCATCTTCCACCATGCGTCCACCACATCACCAAGTTCCCGGCGTAGGGAAAAAACCAAGGCCCGAGCCAGTAGGGTCGAAGGTGCGTTTGGAAAGTGCGAAGGCGGCCCCTGGTGACCCAGTCCGAGTTTTTTTGGAATCTGGGAAGATCTGGGAAGATCTGGGAAGCATCAACTGCATCAACCACCCTGGGAGTAGTAACTCCCTCCGACCTCGATCCCTGTGTGGTCGCACCAGGCGGGATGGCCTTAAACGCTGCTGGAGAGACCAGGTCGTGACTTTGGGTCGAAAACGAGATAGGAAAAAATTGTAAAAAAAAATGGTTATGGTCCCCAATAGATAGCCATCTTTATTGCCATATTTCCGAAAATGAGCATTTAAGTCATCTAATTTTTCGAAAATGGAGAACTCGACCATCAGAATAGATAAATGGAAAAATTAGAAGTTTCAATGGGCATTTATTTTGGGATTTTACTGATTTAAGCGACACTGGGCCACTGGGCTTTACAGCACCAAAAATTGGGAATTCAGAATGGGGATCATGTGGGGAAACATTATTGGAATGACTGTCATGTGATGATGCAACAAATAGGTCATTCATACAATGTGGGGCCCCCGTTCGATAGCGTTCAGTTGGTGCGTTTATAACTCCAATAACTATTATGGTTTATGGTACGCAAATAACGAACTATATAGTATTCATGGGGTTTATTTCAGCCAACTTACAACTGAAATATCTGAAGACCGAAGTCCTGGAACAACTCATCATCCATACCCCCACGGTGCAGGACTATCCTGCCAGTCAAAATGAGCCAACGACATACGAACAATTCAGTGACTGGAATGTGTGAAGATTTAGACTCCCTGCGTTTTTAAGTGCAAGACATGCCCAGCTGTTGTAATTGTTGTAATTGACGGAGCTGTTCAACAGGCCCAGGTAATTGAGGCATTCAAAATACTCATTTTTCCCATCTCATGAAATACTCGTTCAGGGAAAGCGGCTTCCAATTTCAATCAATTTCATATGGCTTACCACTTAACTCAGGTAGTAAAACTTAGTATAACTCTCTATACTTCATAACCAATCAACAAAGCTATAACTTTTTCATGGCTCGATCAGGATCTGGGGCTTGCGTGCGACACTCAGGCGGGTCACATCCACACTCCTGGCAATGAGGCAGTTCCCACAAGAAACAACCGGGGATATTCACCATATTCCTGGGATGCACCTGGGTTGCATGAATTTCTGCATGACTATTAGCCTCTGGTAATGACTAACATAGCTATAGAAAATCACCATGCTATTAATAGGTAAACCATCTATTTCGATTAGGGCCATTTTCCATGGCTATGTTAGTTTACCAGAGGGTACCACTTCTAAACTTCTAAATGTTCTAAGATATTCCAGATTCGTAGCTTTCGAAGACGATAACCTTACCATCACCAGCGATTTTTAGCCCAGCCCTCCACCAGGCGTCCGAACGGCTCCCTTGGATCCCTTGGCGTCCGCACGTCACGAGGATGGCCTGCGAGATGGGAGAGAAGAAGAAGCCGCTGACCAACAGGGCGACATAGGGCCGCCACCTGGCGGAGGGTGATGTAGTGATGTCAATGTGGAACAAGCTGCGAAAATATCTGGCATTCAGCCGGTTTTTGCACGACATTGTCTGTTCCCTGTCTCCGCAAAATGAGACGATTTCTGGCAAAGAGCCCAGGCTTTTTAGGCTACATTGGAAATCTTGGAGATTTCTGGCTTGGATTGCTGCTAAATCTGCCAAAAGAAGGTGATCTTCATCAAGGGCAAATCAGCAACTTTGCAGGACTTAAACGCAAACAATTCGTCAATGGGATGGTAAAATTTGTAAAAGTGAAAATCTACAGGAATTGCAGGTTTTTGTTGACGATTTTCACTTGAACCAATCGAATTTTCATTCAGCCACCCTCCAGGAACCGAGCTCTCTCCAAGCCGGTTCTGGCTCTAAGGCATGCAAGACTGCCTGGAATGGGCTGGAAAAAGATCGTCAAAACATTGCTGCGGACCTGCTCATGACTGGTCCATGTTCAGGAACTGGTCATTACCTGTTGTTAAAGGGGTTTCTTCAAACCCATCTATTAATCAACCAACCAATGGGAATTTGGGACATCTATGGAACCATCGTGAACTATCCCAGCTTTGGTCTACCCGAGTCTAGCGGCTGGCCATCTTGACCCATCCCCCACTGTGCGTCACGAATGCTGCTGTGACCATCCCCCAATAGGTTTCTTTAAATCGCTGTCATTCAACCTTTTGACCGTGGCAAAAAACTAGCTTCGAGTTGTCCAGAAACGAGAAATACCCTTTTAGCCACCGGTACATCGGTGAATCCGAACATAGTCCCATCAGACAATGTGGGACCAACCACCGATTTCAGACACCCAGAGGCCCATTTTGGGCCCATGTTTTCCCACCTTCAAACGGGTGGTTGAAACCAAAAAATGGGCGACGACTTGGTGGACCATCTGGTACCCATTTTGACCCATACCTCTACTGGTTGGTGGTTTCAACCTACCCCTCTGAAAAAAGATGACTTCGTCAGTTGGGATGATTATTCCCAATACATGGAAAAATAATCCAAATGTTCCAAACTACCAACCAGTTATTTGTTTATCCATTTAGATGCATTTGGCTCTGGATCAAAAACAAGAAACATCTTTGGCGATGGACATCCGAGCGCCAAAATTTGATGTGAACTACATCGGATTCAATGGGCGAAACGGCCCATCCCCATTTGAGTAGAGGAATATCCTATTCAATCAATGGCCATTTCAGGGACCTAAAGTGTAGTTACCTACCATATACTATAGGCCTAAATTTCAGGGCCAATAATTTCAATATCCCCGCAAAATCTAGTCGAAAATATGGGACACTACCTGCTACCTCCATTCTAGGGTCCTGAAATTCCCAATGATTCAATGGGAATTTTCCATTTCCACATCTAGCCCCACATCCAGCACCTTCTGTGCACAGATCCGCGCCACCGCTTTGCGCCAGCGCTTTGAGGGTGAAGGGCAGCCCTGAGTGGCGGCAAATTCTGGGTCCGCGGATGGCAACGGGTACAAAATGGCGCTAGCAATGGACCTGCAGAATTTGTTTTCTTTTTACAGTTAAGCCATCCATTTTTGAGACCAGTTCTTTTGATCTATCACCAATACATGCCGTGGACTGACTGTTCAGAAATATCCCAACTATAGGGCTTCAAAGTTAGAAAATGCGTAAAACTGTAGGGTGACTGGATTTACGTTCGATATTATTGTTTATTCTTAAAAATCATATGATATCAAATCCTTGTCCTTGAAGAGCATCAATCAAACCTGCATACCAAACAAAACGTGGGGTTGTCTGGGAATGGGCTACGGCATATCCGAAAATGGCCATGTGAATGGGAGAGATGGTGATTAACCACCGAATTTGAGGTTTTGCACCAAAAACAAATCCATGTATAAATATATAGACCGTGAGGTATCCTATATTTTTTTATGTATTTATTAATTTATCTATCTGTCTATCTAGCAATCTATCTATGTATCTGTCTATCTAGCAATCTATCTATCTATCTATCTATCGTTCTTTCTTTCTTTCTTTCTTTCCTTTTGTATATTTACAGTTTACAGTATTTGTTTGCACTGGATTATAACCCTGGTTAATGCCAACCCCGAATCAATATATAACATCATATAACCCCCCAGCTCACCAATTAAATTAGGAGGTTCCCAATATCAGCATATATAAACCACTCTTAGGATTGAAACCCTCCAGGAATAACGCAGGAATGTATTTATCCTGGGTTGACATGATGATACCCTCACCAGCCCCTTCACTGCGCACCCCTGGAGATACTGGAGAGCTTGCGTCCATCAACCCCACATCGGACGGCCGTGGTGACCCATCGAGGGGGTTGGGGCGGGCTAAGCAGCTAAGGGTATGCTGGACCGGGGCCAAAAGAAATGCTTGGGAGGATCATGTTCTTGAGTTTTTTGGCATGTGTTTGAGATTTTTAGGCATGTTCTTGGTTTAAAAGTTTACAAAAACTACAAGAACTCGTGTGATCTTTCCAGTTTAAGAATGGGGCGGACGAAAAAAACAAAAGGCGTATTCAGCAACATCTTTTGGGAGGAACCTAGACCTCTGCACAGTTTTTGGGGCTTTCCAGTGGTGATGTTTGTCATTTGCCCAGGGTGTGTCACTGGTCGTTCCATGAAGGCTTGCTCGCATGTGTGGCTTCAGGTCTGAGGCGGAGCAGGGTGTTTCCATGGCCGGCGGCAAGATGCTTTGATCAACTTCTAAGATATCATTCGGGGTTCCTTATGATGGGTATATACCCTCTGGTAATTCTACAAAAAGCTATTCAAAATGGCCATAGAAATAGTGTTTTTTTCCATTAAACATGGTGGATCTTTCCAGTTCGTTTTTTTGTTAACGTTTACCAGGGGGTAAACCCCTCAATGGATTGGTCTAAGACCATACCCCCAATACTTATCCGACTCAGTAAGTCTGAGACTCGGAAACCAGTCACTTACCCTGGGGTAAACATACGGAAAGCTGTGGAAATTCTATGGTTTCTTTTGGAAATTGATTCATAAATGGATATACCCTCTGGTAAGCTAACATAACTATAGAAAATCACCATGTTTAATGGGAAAACTCACTATAAATGACCATTTTCAATAGCTTTTTGTATGTTTACCAGAGGGTAAATGGTGGGTTTTTCACATCCCGATGTTCTTCTTTCGAAAGGTTTCTGGAGTCAGTGACCAGATACAGAAAAAGCACATGTTGTTAGGGGCGTCGGGTGGCTTTTCTCATAACTGCCTCGATTGCTGTCGAGTCCTTTTGATGAGATCAAAAAGGCCTCCATTCTGGTCAAATTAGCATCAATATATGTCACTTTGAGTTTAAAATCAGGGGGTTCGTGGTTTCCAGTTGCCAAATGTTGCCAAGCTCCCCCAGAAGTACCACCTTAAGCAGATAAGCAGATCAGAATTTGACCAGGCAGGTGCTTCATGTGCTCAACACCATGAAACACCGTACAAACGATCGCGCATGAGGCCAGTCTCAGTGTGCTGTTGGACGCCAAGACGGCCATGTCGCCAAGGCGCGCGGTCGGGTGACACGTCATTCATCAGCCGTGGTCGGTTCGTCCAGTGGGTCTCCGGTGGGTCTGGATCCCAAACCCCAAAGGGTGTTGGTCTCCGACCAAAACTGCTTGGCTTCTCCAGTTGCCAAGTTAGTCAAGTTAGTCAAGTTAGATGGGATGGGGAAAAGATGGTCATCCATTGCTGCATTGCTATGGGAATGAAAACGTTTAACGGGTGTTTTAAGCCATGAAAACTGATGGCAGATCAGTTTTTTCTCACTGGACCAAACTCGGGCACGCCGGGCACGGTGATGAAACAGGCTGGGCTCCCAGGCTCCCAGGGCCCCTGCGATGTTCAAAATTCACTGCCCTTCCAGGGGCTTCATCGTATCGTGGCCTTGAAATGATCAAACATGTTGCGAATGTCAGTTGGGATCGTCATTCCGTTCTGGGCTTGAAATTAAATGCACATGAAAATTAATTGAAACCAGCGGAGCATGAACCAAAAAAGGGGATGAATTGGGTTATCTATTGGAGAAATCATTGGATAATTTACGGTATTGGATAAACATCCATATTTGATATTATATCCCCCTAATATTAAACCTAATATTAAACACTCTAGTATTAGATTGTTCAATATCCCCTCATGTCATATTCATTTGGGTGTAAGTGTTTCACACTGGATTATATAAACATGATTAAACTCCTGGTGAACACCCCTAAACACCAATATTAAATAACCCCACCCCGTGGGATATTGAACTACCCTCTGGTAATTTAACATAGCTATTGAAAATGGCAATAGAAATAGTTGATTTACCCATTCTAGCCAATTATAGCTACGGTGATTTTCTACAGCTATGTAAACGTTTACCAGAGGTAAAAAAAAAGTCTTGATCATCATTATTGGGATTAGAATGATTAATATGTCAGCATAGTTATAGATGAGTTCTAGATCTCTATCTTAATTCTCTATCAGTTGACCTGTGAAAAAAATCTCAATATCCATCAATATCCCATCTCCCCATGGTGACTCGCGGGACTCTGGAATGGGGGGAATGGGAGTAGGTACCATCATATCAGTTATAATATCATATTATATACATAATGTATATGAATGTGTATAATTATATATTATTGTATACTGATGTATACTGTATATTTATATATTCGCCCCATCATCATACTTTCCACAATTGGTGGTTTTTATATCATTATCCCATAGGATCATTGAACTGTTGGGGGATAGAGTTTTTGTTGAGAACATTGAACAATTGAAAATAATTCATTGTTTCCTTCAAGAAAATGACCCGTAAATGCTGGGCGTTCCACATCTTTTCAAATTCCCCACCTGCCAGGTGAGGGTTGTTAGATTTTATCTAAGTTGCCTTCTCCTCCTCCTCCTCTCTTCCTCCTCTCCTCCTCCTCTCGTCGTCCTCCTCCTCTCGTTGTCCTCCTCCTCTCGTTGTCCTCCTCGTCTCGTTGTCCTCCTCGTCCTCCTGCTCAACTGCGACTCGCGATCCACAGTGTTCGCTGCCGGACCTCAACCACGACCATCCACGCCCAGTGTTCCCTGCCGGACCTCAACCACGACCATCCACGCCCAGTGTTCCCTGCCGGACCTCAACCACGGCCATCCACGCCCAGTGGTCCCTGCCGGACCTCAACCACGGCCATCCACGCCCAGTGTTCCCTGCCGGACCTCAACCGCGAGTATCCATGCCAAGTGTTCCCTGCCGGACCTCAACCGCGAGTATCCACGCCAAGTGTTCCCTGCCGGACCTCATGTAGGAAGATAAAATGTCAGATAGAGTGCCAGAAGATTTGCCAGGTAGAATGCCAGAAAATATGCCAGAAGATATGCCAGATAGATATGCCAGAAGATATTCCAGAAGATATGCCAGATAGAATGCCAGATAGAATGCCAGATAGAATGCCAGAAGATATGTCAGATATGCCAGATAGAATGCCAGATAGAATGCCAGAAGATATGTCAGAATATATGCCAGAAGATATGCCAGATAGAATGCCAGATAGAATGCCAGAAGATATGTCAGATAGAATGCCAGAAGATATGCCAGATAGAATGCCAGAAGATTTGCCAGATAGAATGCCAGAAGATATGCCAGAAGATATGCCAGATAGAATGCCAAATAGAATGTCAGAAGATATGTCAGATAGAATGCCAGAAGATGTGCCAGTAAGAACATGTATAAATGTCATGGTGGGGATCACACGAAGTAAAGTAATTTGGTTTTGTTTTTTTCTTTCGTAGGTAAATCCTGCAGTGAGATCGGGTTTGCTGCGATCTATTTGGTTCGCCTGAAATCTGCAATGTCACGTCGAAGTCCTAAGACGTCCTAAGATCACCGGACCTTAAGATGAGGACCTACTGTGGATGGAAGAAATCCTGCACCAGTTGGGAACTATTAGGTACCTATGAAACACTGTAAATAATGGGATTATAATGGGAAAACCCATTTACCAACTGGTGCAGGATTTCGGAACCATCCACAGTATGAAAAACCGGCATCTTGTGGATCTCAAGAAACAAACGGAGTATCACGGACCAACGGCTGGTCAATGTCATCCACCCCATAGTCATCCCATGTTCCGCCATTGCGAATGCGGTGAGAAGACGTGAAGCTTTTGGGAAAATAAGCATGGCATGTCACTCGTGGTGAGAAGACTCTCATAGATTCATAGATGTTCTGTTGTATCCTGCAGGGGCGCGCCGGAGTTCCCTGAGCTGAAAATGCCTCTGAAACACCTGCCGCTGCAGAGGATTCATTTCCGTGGCAGCTTATGAATTTTGAAAAGTTGTATTGTACCTTTTGAGCTATCTGGGTTTGAACTTTGTATCAAGGCTGCAGAAGAGATATGCTCTCTTTAGCATGAAAACGGGAATGATGATAGTCTATGACACAGCAAGAATCTCAAAAGTTCATGTGTCAAGGCACATGGTAAAACATCTCCTGCTAGAAAATCCATTCCAGAAAGGGTGTGACTTGTCCCGTCCCGCAATGGGCTGCTGTTTGCAGCTTCTGGCACTGGATATCCCTCCGGAAACGAATCCTCTAGTTGCGTCCCTGGCTGCTTCCTGGCGTCAAATAAAAGGCCCCGCCCCAAGCATCATGAGCGACGTTGCAATAGTCAGACTGCATAGATCATCATAGATCTTGTGCGCGGGCGCCGTCAAGTAGCAAATTAGTGAGCCTTCACACAGAAAACTTCAGAAAACGTCATGATCGCAATGGATCTTAGAGTGGATCACTGAGCAAAGCTGGGACGCGTTTAAAGGGTCGCTGGTCCCACTTCACAAAACATATCACATTTGACTCACTGCTGGAAACATCGAAAGGCAATGGCCTTCTTGTTCCACGGCTTTCGTGCTCAGTCTCGAAAACCGAGAGATGAACACTCACCCATTTCAGACCCCCACCAGGGCCACTGCACAAAGGGGACACCTGTTTTCGTGCAGATCACACCGGCGCCACACGACACAAAGACGTGCTATCGGTGTCATCGGCAGATCCCCCTGTGACGCACAGCAGCCAGGGAAGGCGATGCGAAATATGCGAAAATGTCAACGGCCAAGCCTTAAGCCTCGGCCGCAGTTTTGGGCTCTGATTCTTGGGGGATCATCAATCTAGATATCTCAGCTTGATGTCCTTCTCCTGTGGTATTGTGGTACGGTGTCCCTAATTCAGAAGAATTCCGAAGATCCAGCTTCACAACACTTCAATGACATTTCAGACATGGGGCCCCAAAACAAAGGCACAAAACGGCGATGATCGTTGACCATCCCCTTGAACAAGCAGCACCATGTAACTCGACCAAGCAGCTGAGCAAGTGCTGACACCCCGCAGGAAAATGAATCACGAGAAGATTCGCCTGAGCAAAAGGTTGCCTGGACCAAAAAAATAGACCCTGGTTGATCAATAGGGTCACCCCCAAAAAAGCCATGGATATGGTCAAAAGCCATGGAATCCCCTAACACCAACAGCTAAAATGTTTATAGGGCTTCATCCCCTCAAAGTATGGTATTGTAGATTTTGATGCATGCCCAAGTATCAAGAAGTGATACATGGCTATTCTTAAATGGTGCCCAATGATCAACAGCCCCGTGGTCAATGGGTTCGGAAGTTCAGATTTCGCCATGATGAATGAGGGATACGGACTAAGTCCCTAAGTCCCTAACCACGGCACCAATCTTAGGTGAAGACCTACTGCCAGCTGGTTTCAACCGGTGTCAACGATTGCCATCCCAAGAAATTTTCGACGCTCACGGCCCGGATCTGATCCCTCCAAGCGACGTTTTGAGTCAACTCACGCACGCCCGTTCAGAGCCCAGGAATGAGTCGGTTTGAAGCCTCGGTTCTGGATGAAAAAAAGCCAGCCAGGTGTCAGGCTTCGCCTCACATGCATCCAGCAGGATCAACTGAAAAAAAAAAACAGTGACTTTCTCAAGTAATCAACCGATACTATCATAATATAATATCTATCTACAAACATCTGAGTTCTATCCCAAACACACTCCAAATGTTTGGCAGTCCACGGCATGCTGGCCCCAGACTTCAAGATGTGTCTCTTTAATCGAACGCCAATGTAGTGTATGATCAATTTCCAAGTAAACTAGCGTTATTAACATAGCTATGGAAAATCGTTATTTGTTACAAGTAAATCATCAGAAATATTCTTTAAACAGGCCATGGCTTCCATAACTATGTTAGATAACCAGAGGGTAAATCCCAAATACTTCCCATGATTATCTCATTGTACATATATATATATTATATAATTCCATTATATAGCCATTATATCCAAGACTATCAAAAAAAACAGATGTCTTTGTTTGAAGGCCAGTGTAGTGCATCAGTGTATCATCAATTTTCCCGTTGTTAACCATTCTTAATCATGATTATTCATTATCAACCATTGTTAACCATCATTACCCTCTGGTAATTTAACATAGCTATTGAAAATCACCATTTTTAATGGGAAAATCCACTATAAATGGTCATTTTCAATAGCTATGTTAGTTTACCAGAGGGTAACCATTATAAACCAGAGGTTCATGATATTCAGGGGACCAAGAAGCTGATGGAGTTGCTCACGGACCAATCCATCATGGATCCGCCTTTCTTAAGCGTTTTCGGCGAGTCCGGAAGTGGCGATGTTTTCCCCAATGGGATGGAAATGATGCGTCAACTGGTTGGTGGTGACTTAACCATCTTGAAAAATATGACAGTCAATGGGAAGGACGACATCCCATATGTTATGGAAAATGAAATTCATGTTTGAAACCACCAACCAGATCAAGAATGGAGTTCTTACCTTCAAAAAATGGATGTCCAAAAATGGCTGGCACTCCAATGTGGCAATTGGACCATGAAAATTATGATAAACCATGAACCACAGGACGAAATGGTATTGTTACGTCAGACAACCCCAGATGTTGGCGAAATTTCTTACCATCCTGTGGATTCTCAAAAAAAAAAACTTTCAGAGGCTCCCTTGCCATGGTACCCTTTTGCAGGGATGGGAGGCTGTGGAGGTTGAACTTCTCCTGCAAGTGCTGCAAGGTGATTCTGGACTTGGCTTGGAACATGACCGCTTCAACCAAGAAATATGAAGGTTCAAGCAACGAAAGTTTGGGTTGTTGACCAATGCAAATGAAATTCGTCAGTCGGTAGGCTAACCCAACGATTGACCATCGCAGTAACCAACCACGAAAGATCATCCCGCTTGTTAGAGTAGAACCAATTTCATAAACTCGAACTGGGGATGGTTTATGGCATTGGGTTACCACATAGCAAGTAGGCTACACTCAATTATAGGTAGGGTAAGTACAGGGTTGGTCCACTGATCTCTGGGTTATAAGCCACTTACTCATTGGATCTCACTCGGGAGAACCGGGACATCGGGACGGCACTTTTTTGGAAAGCCCAGAAAATATTGGACTGTCGTATCCTTGACAGCTGTCCCAGCGAACCTATCAAGTCCCAAGTTCTTTTTCAAGTTTTCAGGTGTCCGCCCATGCTCTACCTGAGATACTCTGCCCCAAAACAAGCAAAACAATTGAATGTGTAGCTGGGTGATATGTGTCCCTAAAAATATGGCGGAAAAAAAAACTCCAAAACGAAAGCAGGAAACTAAGCCTAGCTGGAACACCAAATGTCGGACCGGTTGATCGAAACCCCATTGGTTTGTACAGATATATCTATCACAAACCCTTGTTTACCTGGTTATAAGCCCATATAATCCGTATAAGCCGTATATCAAGAACCAGTTGCTGTGCCAGTCTTACTGAGACCTTGACAGCGTCCCTGGCCTTGCGCAGCGATCCCATGGAGGAACATCGGCTGCCCATCGCCGAACTTCCAGGCCGACGCTCCTGGGTGGAGACGTCAGATGCACTGGAGCAAAGGGATTCTCTCTGGATCCAGAGATTGCCGGGATGAAAACACTGGTAGTTTTATAAATGGCTTATAAATGGCTTATAAATGGCTTATAAACACCTAGTTTACATCCAGTTTATAAACACTGGTAGCTTTACACAGTTTACCAAGTGGCTTATAAATGTGCGTTCATGGGACCATGAAGCACAGCTGAAGTTCACCCGGTTTTTGTTGACTTCTAAAAAGTGGTGGTTGCCGCTTTCTTACTGGTGCTAAACGTAGGGAATGACCCAATCCATGAAGTAGAAACCATATTTAACAATCATCCCATTCCCCCATTCCCTATTACAGTAAGCACCAGTAAGGTTTTCACATTCCATCGGCACCATCTGATTCTGGTGGAACACTGGGCTCCTTCATGCCTAGATCCAGACCCAAATCCAATGCCATTGCGGAAGCCGATGCAGTACCTGGCGCAGCGTGCTTGATGATGGTGGGAAATCGGAAGGCCAACCCATGTAATTTGCATGCCAATCACTCCCAATGCAAAAATGATGAATTGGATATAAAATAATAATAACCATCAAATTCATATTCTATCAGAAATAAATACGTGGATGCATATATTTGTGTCATGGTGTTTATATCAAGCCACCATTGGTTGCCATGGAATTCAGCGACCCTGTACCATCTTCAGCCAAAAATACACTGGGCTCACCCCGTGACTGTGAGCCTTTCGCGCGCAGGCCCTTGCTGGATGGCAGCGCGGAACCCAAAGGCTCCAAAGCCTCCTTGGCTCTCGTCCCAGTCGACACGTGGGGCCAGATTCAACGTAAAATCCATGGGAATGAGAAATCCACTATAAATGGAGATCTTAATGGGAAAATCATCTACAAATGGTGGATTTTCTATGGCTATGTTAGTTTACTGGAAGGGTATATTCAATAGAAAAATCATGGAAAGCATCGGGAATCACTCCCAAATGCACCGAACTGATTTCCTTTCAGAAAATCTGGATGAAGGCTGTCCCTTTCTCTTTCCCACTTGGATGTGCATCCCAGAATCCTAAGTTGCTACTAAAAGTTACTAATAACCACATGACACAATTTCCAACAAAAAAGTTAGATCAAAATGAAATATACATCATATCATGTGGTTAAAACAATGCCATAAACTACCCTATGACGAATGGATTATACCACCTATGGTGATGACTGGGGGATGGTTTATGACATGGTTTTACCCACATTACACCAGTTTTATGACAGGCTTTTTTTCTCACCTCTGGGTCATCCGGACATCCTCAGGTAAAAATATCCCACTGAGCCCATGGCCTCATCGTGATCCATGCGAATCAGCTCAGCAGAGCCCATGGCCTAAGTCCACAAGGCCGGGCCGACCAGCGAATCCAAGGGGATCCGTGGAAGAAAATGACATAAGGCAGGCGATGCAACTGCTATATCATATGGCTATATATATAATATATACTGTACATATATATATATATAGTGTTGTATATATATAGTATATATATATTATAGTACATATATATTATGTATATAGTACATATAAATATATATATATACGTGTATATATATATATTACATATATAGGCTTTAAACCAGCAGAAATGGGAGTGTATACTATGAGCAGTGTTCAAAAACCCTTTTGGTTGACTATTATATGGAGTTATACTATCCAATATGTCAGGGATTGTCGCAATCCAGTCACTAGAAAATCCGTTCTTGATCACCTCGAAACCGTGCGCAGCAAGGGACAACAGATGGTTTTAAACACTGAGTTTACATGGTATGTGCCCCAGAAATAAATGGGTAATTGACATTCTAATCACTTACCAACTTGGATTGTTTACTACTATGGTGATAGACTCTGATAGACCAAACAATATTTGTATCAGGTGTCACAACCATATTGTGACTGGGTCTTCCCACTTAATCAATCTCTAAGTCTTGATGTGGATAATAAATTGACAATAACCCATTCTGTAACCCAGTCAGATTAGTGGTATATATCCCAGTTGTATTAATGAGTTATGATACGATTCCTGGGATGCACCAGGGAGATTGTCCTACAAGTATCATCCAACAAATGATAACAGGCTCCAACAAAGGCCCTTTCGTCACAACAAAACCAGGTCGGGGTCAACCATGGGTGTGTCCATAAAAATGGGCAAAATTTGCAGCCAATTCTGGATTTTACACAGTTCATGGGGAAAAAAAATAAGGCTTTACCATCTGGTTATTTAATATAGCCATGGAAAATGGCCCATTTATAGATGGTTTACCTATTAAAAATTGTGATTTTCCATGGCTATGTTAAATAACCAGATGGTAACATCTTTTACCCAACTGGATTTTAGGTGGCTTACACCCCCCCATTGAAAAATCAGGTGATCTCAACACTTTTCGCACTTCGCACAGTGTTGGGTATTTCTTTCCAAGTTGCAGCACAAGTAGCTAATTACCATAGAAATATGCAAACATAAAATGCGTGGTTTAATAAGTTTAATATACCCAACAAATCCCAACAACCATTTGGTGAAATCCCCCCAAGATCTTCCCCGAAAGTTTCCAGCACGGACACCTCGAACATGGCCGTAATGCTACTCTTTCGGGCCAGGCCGGGGCGCTTCTCCTCGATGGCCCGTAAAGGTTCGATGGTAAATAACTTATAAGGGAAATTCCCATTAAAAAAAAAACGTATATTGTCTAGTGGATTTTCCCATTAGAACCTCCATTTCTAGGGGATCTTCCCATTAAAAACCACCATATTGTTAAATGACCACAGGTAGTATTTCACCAGGTTGGGATGGGCGCAGAGGCTAGAAATTACTGTTTGGATAGGGAGATCATCAACATTCAACATGTATGGTGCTGTTTGTGCTGCCCTCCAAATTTATGGGAGTTGACTAGATTCAATACGATATCAACCACAAAAAAGGGGATTCAACCTATCTTTGATGATGACCCCCAGGGGATTTTCACATATGAAAAATACATCGTGAATGTAGATCATGTCCCAACGGGAAACCATGATTGTTTACCATATCTATATTCATATATTATGGGATCTAACCGGGGAATCTGACTAGATTGGGATACTGTATGATTCTGAAAGATGTTCCCAAACATTGATTGATTGAAATCACCCCATTTCGTTGACCAAAATGAAATGTGAAATCTTGTGAAATCACCGTTGTGGTTGCTTTTAATACGCGGTTTTTCAGAGGGAAATGATGAATGGTTGGGAAACAGCGTCTTCCTCTCTTGGGAGAAGAGAAGAGTGCAACTTCACAACTTCGAAGAAGACTGGAGAATCCAGCTGTGTCCAAAAATTTCGGACCATGGCATGCCCCAACCAGTTGCCCCAACCCAAAAAGCTGGAGCGTTTTGGATCAAACGATACCGCAGCTCCTCAACTTGGTCGTCTTCCGCCATGTTGAACGTCATGACCTCAACTGGGGTCGAGATAACATGATTGATTGGTGATCTCCATCTCTTAATTCATCTGGTTGGGGGTATACCTACCCCTCTGAAAAATATGAGTTCGTCAGTTGGGATTATTATTCCCAACTGAATGGAAAAATAAAATTCATGTTCCAAACCACCAACCAGTCATGGTATATCATTATATCTACAGATAATAACATGGTGATATCAATGATGATATCTCTATTGATCATAGTTATGTCATGTCATATCACTATATCTCCGCCATTGCTACAGAGTAATGGTTATAAGTTATAAGTTCTATCCGCATGTTTCATGAAGTTATCAATGAATACATGGTTTCTTTCAAGAAAAAACGCACCAAATTGACCCTTCGTTTCGGGTGTAAATTCCACATGAACAAAATATCAACCTGCAAATGAAGATCTGAAGAAACTTACCAAATGTTCAGTGAGCCAAGAATGCCGAACATCTCATGTTGACCATGCCAGGTCTAGTTCAAACATCAATGGACTAAGTTCAATCTACAGAAAATCATGGATTGTTCACCATCACCCATCATCCTGCAAACCTTCCCCTTTACAACAAAAACTTGGTTCATTGGTTCCCTTAGTTTTACCGTTTAACCCTTGTCCCGTTGCGAAACGTCCCAGCGCCTCCTTCTGCGAACGCAAGCCATTCGCCACCGAGCCGGCCAAGAACCAATTGATCCCCGCCCGGCTTCCGCTGGGTGGGGCCGGATCCACGGGCAACGATTCCGCCGGAGCACGAGCAACGGCCTCGTGTGGTGCCGAGCCGTTTTTTGAAACGGCTACCCTCTGGTTATGTCAAAATAGCTATTGAAAATGGTGATTTATAGTGGATTTTCCCATTGAAAATGGTGATTTTCCATAGTTATGTTAAATTACCAGAGGGTAACGATCGTTGGTTGATAGGTTGCCCTATGGGTTGAAGTGAAATCCCAATTTTGTTTGGTGGTATAAGTCACTTGTTTAAAACCAAATTTAAGCAATTAGCCAGGGTATTGTTCATAGCCTTTGCCCCTCTGGTAAACTAACAGTTTGCTATGGAAAGTCACCATCATTAATAGGTCAATCATCGAACAAAATGGTGCATGGCTTCCATTGCTATCTTAGTTTACTGGAGGGACAAATGAGAGATGATCAATGGAATCAAAGCAACCTATACACTATTGCGATATCTTAACCAACAAGATAATATTGGAGTCCAGAATTAGGTGTCTACCCCAGACTTCGTGCAATCGTCATCTGGAAAATGATAGACCATTGGATGGAATGGGGTGCACTTGACAAATCGATCTTCTTGTGGACATCAACGGCGAAAATGCACCAAATCGCCATTTCTGTTCAGCTTGTCCACGTGAAATTCTGAAATCTGTTTCGCACCAATTCGGCTTCTCCAGTTCCACAGTCTGAAAATTGGGTATCCAAGAATCCAAAGGTTTGAAGTTTATATCTCAAATGTTCCCCATCAAACTCAAGCAAAATATACTCAAATGACAATATGTTGTGAGCACATGGGCCGGCTGAATGGCTTGGGTTGATGGCCGCTTTTCATGGTTCAATGATCATTAATAAAATGTTGGTTAAATCAAGTTAAATCATTGTCTTCCCATAGTCAAGTTGCTATTTTACCCGGATGTTTATGATGCTGGAACTTCCCCATTTTTCAATGCCAACGTCCGTCAGGTTTTATGTTGGTCCCCTGAAACGAAACAGTGATTGATTTTCATCATCCTTAAGTTTCATGGTGCCCCAAGGTACCCAAGAGAAAATTCAGGCTGAAATCAATAATGTCCTTTTGACAAAAATAGAGAGGCCGGGAGCTGGTATACCATCTATCATCATTTAGCTGTTGTTAAAGGGGGTTCTGAAGAAACCCCTCTATTAATCAACCAACCAATGGGAAAAGGACATCTATGGCTGAAACTGCCCATCCCCCATGGGTGGCGACAAGGGACCGGCACCGTGGCACCGATGATGCGACGCTTCATCTTGGTGACGCTGCTGCTCTTCCGCATCGCCGAAGAACTCTCCACGCTTGGCGCTGGCGGTGCCTGGGTGTTGCGTGGCTCACGGGTTGAGATAGGGGCTCCAACGTGATAGGGTTCCCTATGGTTGAAAGAGAACGTTGAAATTATGATTGAATCATTCCAAATCCTTCCTATGATAGTTGTTTTTTCCATCTCTAATGATTATCATGGGGATATACCAATCGGAATAAACTAGGAATATAATGGCTAGAGAATGTTAAAAGACAACCTCTGTGCATTTTTCTCATACGTTTTTTCAAGATTCTGGGTTTTCAAGTGATGAAGCAGAAACATGAGGGATGATCCATGGCCATTTCACGGGGTATCAAATGTGTCCATCAGGGCATATTCGAACACCAAAAACCTGGACCGCTTTCTCTCGATGCGATTTCTGGCGATTTTTGGGCCAAATTCAGCCCAAAATCGCTGGGAAATTATGGATGTTCATCCCCAGCCATCTGGGATTTCGATGGATTTCATGGGTGCCCAAGTTGCTGCGACCAACTAGCCCCAACTACCCAAGCCCAACTGATTCCATGGTGCCACCGACCATCTCATCTATCACGTCAAGTTTTTCAAGTGGACATATTCGCCCCATATCCTACTATTGGTTCTGTACGAAGGTTTAATAAGATTTTGTCTGAAATTTTATGGGGCTCTCTCAAAATAAATGGCTCTGCTAAAAACATCTAAAAACCTCAATTTCTCGAAGAAATTGTCAAAATTGCATGTTTTCATACTTTTGCTCATCAAATCACCCATTTTCAGACAAGCCCATATCAATTCTGCACCAGGATATGCTGAGGCGCAACTGGCACTGGAGTGACTGGTGCACGGAAGGATGGCACCATCCAGGTACCCACGGACGGCAACATGTGGAATTTTGGAGGACCTCAGAATGTGCATCCAGCATCATCCAACTATCCAACAACTTGCCAGTCAAAACCACAGGAAACTCAAATTTCAAACGGCAACGTTTCCTGTAGTTGCTAAGTGAGCCTTTTTACCTGCGTCTGAATCATGCACTCAACTTATGCTCGATGTGTCTGGCAGTCTATCCTATTCATCTCTTTTGCACAGAACTCTGCAGACATAAGTCATCATAAATCAACAAATAAACTCACAATAGTAACAATAGTTCACATTTTTCGATTCACCAAGAGGTTTGGTTGCAAATCAGTTGCTCGTGGCCACTGACTCTTTGACTGGTGCTGCTTCGGGTGCCTTGGAAGAAAAGACCAGAGCCCTGATGTCAAAAGTGTCACGGTTCTTGCCTTTGACATCCTTTAACTGAGATGCTCTAAGCGCCTACTTAACGCTGCAAGATGGCCTACGTTCCGAACATATCCAACACACTCCTAAATAAACTCCTGCATCCAACTCTCGTGTTACAAGTATGTGTCCATGCGAAAAATGCAGGGCAGGGGTAACCAAAAAAAGGTGTAACAGCATCGCACAAAGTCATCGCAAGGTAAGCACAAGATAAGCGAGAGTCTTAATTAAGCAACTTGATCCTCGACAAATTGTTCGAACAATCTTGCTTCCGTGCCGGAGATAAAACGAGGCTACACAATGGATAGAAAGCATGAACGAAAATTGTTTCCAATCTGTGCAGAGAAAGTCCAGAACATGTGCAAGGATCACCTGACACCATGTAATGCTGGCAAGATACCGCTGGGACTGGAGTGACTGGTGCACGGAAGGATGGCACCATCCAGGTACCCACGGACGGCAACATGTGGAATTTTGGAGGACCTCAGAATGTGCATCCAGCATCATCCAACTATCCAACAACTTGCCAGTCAAAACCACAGGAAACTCAAATTTCAAACGGCAACGTTTCCTGTAGTTGCTAAGTGAGCCTTTTTACCTGCGTCTGAATCATGCACTCAACTTATGCTCGATGTGTCTGGCAGTCTATCCTATTCATCTCTTTTGCACAGAACTCTGCAGACATAAGTCATCATAAATCAACAAATAAACTCACAATAGTAACAATAGTTCACATTTTTCGATTCACCAAAGAGGTTTGGTTGCAAATCAGTTGCTTGTGGCCACCGACTCTTTGACTGGCGCTGCTTCGGGTGCCTTGGAAGAAAAGACCAGAGCCCTGCTGTCAAAAGTGTCACGGTTCTTGCCTTTGACATCCTTTAACTGAGATGCTCTAAGCGCCTACTTAACGCTGCAAGATGGCCTACGTTCCGAACATATCCAACACACTCCTAAATAAACTCCTGCATCCAACTCTCGTGTTACAAGTATGTGTCCATGCGAAAAATGCAGGGCAGGGGTAACCAAAAAAAGGTGTAACAGCATCGCACAAAGTCATCGCAAGGTAAGCACAAGATAAGCGAGAGTCTTAATTAAGCAACTTGATCCTCGACAAATTGTTCGAACAATCTTGCTTCCGTGCCGGAGATAAAACGAGGCTACACAATGGATAGAAAGCATGAACGAAAATTGTTTCCAATCTGTGCAGAGAAAGTCCAGAACATGTGCAAGGATCACCTGACACCATGTAATGCTGGCAAGATACCGCTGGGACTGGAGTCACTGGTGCACGGAAGGATGGCACCATCCAGGTACCCACGGACGGCAACATGTGGAATTTTGGAGGACCTCAGAATGTGCATCCAGCATCATCCAACTATCCAACAACTTGCCAGTCAAAACCACAGGAAACTCAAATTTCAAACGGCAACGTTTCCTGTAGTTGCTAAGTGAGCCTTTTTACCTGCGTCTGAATCATGCACTCAACTTATGCTCGATGTGTCTGGCAGTCTATCCTATTCATCTCTTTTGCACAGAACTCTGCAGACATAAGTCATCATAAATCAACAAATAAACTCACAATAGTAACAATAGTCACAATAGTTCACATTTTTCGATTCACCAAGAGGTTTGGTTGCAAATCAGTTGCTCGTGGCCACCGACTCTTTGACTGGTGCTGCTTCGGGTGCCTTGGAAGAAAAGACCAGAGCCCTGATGTCAAAAGTGTCACGGTTCTTGCCTTTGACATCCTTTAACTGAGATGCTCTAAGCGCCTACTTAACGCTGCAAGATGGCCTACGTTCCGAACATATCCAACACACTTCTAAATAAACTCCGGCATCCAACTCTCGTGTTACAAGCATGTGTCCATGCGAAAAATGCAGCAAAGTTATTGCTCCAGGGCAGGGGGAACCAAAGAAAAAGTGTTAGAAAGCATGAACGAAAATTGTTTCCAATCTGTGCAGAGAAAGTCCAGAACATGTGCAAGGATCATCTGACACCATGCAATGCTGGCAAGATACCGCTGGGACTGGAGTCACTGGTGCACGGAAGGATGGCACCATCCAGGTACCCACGGACGGCAACATGTGGAATTTTGGAGGACCTCAGAATGTGCATCCAGCATCATCCAACTATCCAACAACTTGCCAGTCAAAACCACAGGAAACTCAAATTTCAAACGGCAACGTTTCCTGTAGTTGCAAAGTGAGCCTTTTTACCTCGAGAAGAGATGCGTCTGAATCATACACTCAACTTATGCTCGATGTGTCTGGCAGTTTATCCCATTCATCTCTTTTTCACGGAACTCTGCAGACATAAATCAACAAATGGAATCACAATAGTTCACATTTTTCGATTCACCAAAGAAGTTTGGTTGCAAATCAGTTGCTCGTGGCCACCGACTCTTTGACTGGCGCTGCTTCGGGTGCCTTGGAAGAAAAGACTAGAGCCCTGATGTCAAAAGTGTCACGGTTCTTGCCTTTAACATCCTTTAACTGAGATGCTCTAAGCGCCTACTTAACGCTGCAAGATGGCCTACGTTCCGAACATATCCAACACACTCCTAAATAAACTCCTGCATCCAACTTCCATGTTATGTTTCCATGCAACAAATGCAGCCAAGTTATTGCACCAGCCAGATGTCTTTTCTGGTATTCAATCGCACGGAATTCGGGGATGTGGCTTACATACATCAGCACTCTGCTCACCCCAGCTTTTACTTCAACAAACATAGACTTGGCTTTTGCTCCTAAAAAACATTCTCCACGATCTTCGCAAAAAAAGGGGGAAACCGCACCTTAAACAGACAGGCTGGGTGGATGTTGTCTAAGCCCCTCTAAGCCTGGTGCAATATCAGTCTGCGGCACAGCGTCCCCTTCAGAATCGACTTCCTGCACCGGACCCCTGCAGAAAACCCATATGGAATTTTTCCCCAACTCAAGTGACAACAGCTCGGAAAATCATAGAAAATCATAGAAATACCCAACTTTTCACAGTAGTTCTCACTCACCCCTTTAACAAAAATACGACAAAATGGGGGTACCCCAAATCATCCAGTCGTCATGGATGACCATGACGACTGGTATTGAAACCTATGGTGACTTGGGAATCCCCCATGACTTAAGAAACCCCAATATCATCCTAAAACGGTTTATTAATGTTTATTAATCTTAATCATATCCCAATATATCCCATTATATTCCATACTATATATATATTATATATATATTATATATATATCCCTATAAAATGCTGGTTTCTCGTGTTGATTTTCGATGCCTTTTCCCCCATTTGTTCCTATGGCCCACCCGTTGCGCACCTCATCGCTGAGGTCCACGACCTCGCAAAAGCCATCCGTCGAATCCGCCGTTGAGGCATCCCTTGAGGCATCCTGTGGGGCGTGAGGCCAGGGATGGGGATCTCATGGTGGGACATGGGACATGGGGAGAGAATTCACCTAGGTGAATTTCAGGGAAAAAATAAGTTGAACATTTAAAAAAAAAACACCCAAAAAAAATCTATGCCTGACATTTGCCATTGCTTTAAAAAGTGACAAGTAATGTAAGTATCATGAAGCATCCCGCATCCCCAAACCCATGGATTCTGGAAAACAACCAGATTTGCCGTTCATTCAAATGCCATTCATGCCTATTGTGAATTAACTCGCTTTTTGTTGAATCACCATTTAAAATTTGGTAGATCATCCATCAATCTGCTATTGCTTCCATAGCTATGTTAAATTACCCTCTGGCAAACTAACATAACTGTGGAAAATCACCATTTATAGTGGATTTTCCCATTAAAAATGGTGGATCTTTCCATAGTTATGTAAACGTTTACCAGAGGGTACCAGATGGCAAAAATGGTCAGCGATTCTTCCCACGATGGATCCGCTTCTGACCTCAACGGCCTTGCCAAAGTCAATACCATGGAAGTCATCCTGCGTCCGCGACAGAGGCGGCTTTGGATCAATAGAGTTCTGTCCCGAAAAAACCTGGGGAGGTGCAAAGACCCAGGCATAATTGGTAAATGACTATATTTTACAAACCTGAAATAAGGCCATTTTGGGATGATTTCCCTTATTAACCATGATTCCAGTGAGGTCGCAGTGAGGTCGTTATAATTTACCCGGATCAGTGATCATACCCGGCCTGGTAAACGTTTACATAGCTATGAAAAATCACCATGTTTAATGGGTAAATCCACTATAAATATCTATAAATGGCCATTTTCAATAGCTATCTTAGTTTACCAGAGGGTAACTCATATACTATATGTAGCCAGGATATGGCTATAATCTGAATGAGGGGTCCGAAAAAAATCGGGGACCCGGAAAATTGCCACTTGGAGTTCGGGTCCATTGAAATGGAAACTCTCAGTGGCTTCTTGGACTTGTTTAAAAAGTGTCTTGTAGTACCGTCTGGTTATTTAACATAGCCATGGAAAATCCCTTATAAATGGAGGTTTATAGCTGGGAAAATCATCTATTTCTATGGGCCATCTATACCATGGCTATGTTAAATAACCAGAGGGTATCTGTTTCATGTGTGTTTGAAGTTGAATGTGCATCCCAGTCAGTAAGTGGAAAATATAACTATACAGTATAACCCATATATATATATATACACACACATGGAGGTGTCCTAAAATGGGGATACCCCCAAATCATCTCAAATTGAACCGTTTTGGTATTGAAACCTATGGTTTTGGGCATCCCCATTTTAGGAAACCCCCATATTATTTATTTACATATATATATATATACATACAATTACATACATACATACTGTATACCCCAGATTTCTGTGGACTGTGACGTGCTTACTAAAGGAGATGCACAGAGGGAATCGCCATGATCCAGGCCTGGATTCCAGCTACGGAGCCATTTGGATGGAACTTGGTCATCTTGAATAACTAGTGATCTGCTTGGTGGTTGAGTCCTACCCCTCTGAAAAACATGAGTTCGTCAGTTGAGAGTATTATTCCCAATATATGGAAAGTCATAAAATTCCATGGTTCCAAACCACCAACCAGATAATTAGTGACAATTAGTGCCACGTATTAGTACCAAACGTTGAATTAGTAGCAATAGAGTTTTTTTCAAGGCATCTTGGGGTTCTAACGCTTGGATTTGCTTGTTTGGAATTCCCAGTCGTAGCGGATTTCTCATTGTCAAAATGATGTCAAATGCCAAAAATCCTCAACAACATCGCAAATCCAGGCTACCCTCTGGTAATTTAACATAGCTATTGAAAATCACCATTTTTAATGGGAAAATCCACTATAAATTGTCATTTTCAATAGCTATGTTAAATTACCAGAGGCTAATTATTCAACCATCATATCCTCATCATATCTCCACGATATCCCCATAGTATCATTATAAAATGCGTGCGCAATGAAGCCCCCTGGTGTATCCACTCAGCTCCAATTCGCTTCCTGCATGGCTCCCTTCACAGCACGCTTGGTGACCTGGAGTTGCATCGGGTATGGGGGACTTCCCCATTGGATGATCTTTTCTATCCCCAATATATCATGACGGTCATGTTTTGTAATAGGTTCAGAATCTATCCCCAAGAAAAATATTCCTCGTGTCTATCCCCAATATATATATATATATATGTTTTTTCTAATATTTATATATGAACAAATCATCAACCAACAAATGATCTTTTCTATCCCCAACAATATTCAATCCCTCTGTTGGTATAATCCCCGAACAAATCATCAACCAACAGAGGTTTAGCGGCCACTGCTCAAGTCACCATAGGTGAAATACCGTGAAAACTGACGTTTTCCATAACGATTGGATCATGGATGGTACCCCCCATGACAAAACGGAAACCTCGTCATTTTTGTAATGGGATAGAAGGGGGATATAACTAATTATATGTAGTGTATATACCTGACATAAACAAAAAGATGATTGAATTTGTCTGAAGATGGAGAATCTTCCCGCCAACACATGAAAAAATTGGATCAAAAGATTGAACATGATCTGTGAAGCGTCGGTGTTACTGAACTGCCGACAGCTTGGAGAAGTCCTACTGAAAAATGCATGAAATCAAACCAAAAAAGGTGATTCTTTCCGATCTGCGTGTGTCTAAAACATGTTTTCCTAGTCAAAATGACCAATAGCTTGGATGCTTTTGGGTCCCCACTCTAAGAAACCTCCATTGCACTATGAGCAGTGTTCAAAACCGGCATTCGATGGCACAGTGTGCGGTTTAGAACAAGATTCCCATGAATGATGAGCTTCCCTAATAGCAGTATAACAAGAAAAAACCACCATCATCTCTCAATTACACCATATTATATTCCCATATGTTTGACGGTTAAAAGCCTCTAGATATTCCTTGAATCCCCCGTCAGCAACTGGGTTATCCCATTGACAACTGGGGTTTTCACTACAAACCAGCCCGTTGAGGGTGTTCGCGCCTGGCACACCAAATTAAAATTCTCAAGCTCCTCCTCATCGGAATCGCTTTGACCTGCAGAGTCTGGAAAGCGGTCACAAGACATTGGAGCACTGATGGTGAAAATAGATCAAGGGCGATAGATCAAGCAATAGAACAATATAGATCAACCAAAGAATGGAAACTTCAATCAGCAAAAAGTACTGATCGATCAGCGTTGGTGGCTGATGTCTCGCAAGTTCAGCATCTTTCTGCCTACGGGAGATGCATAGGTGGAGGATGTGCAGTTGTTGCCTGATACATCACCCATCGTTGGTTGATATCGTCTGTCATTGGTTTGAACATGGGCTACTCTCAATTCCAAGAGAGATCCTCATCGTTCCCACTATGAATGGCAATAAAATCATGGTGAAACCCCATTTTTGGACAAACCGATATCACATTGTTGCTCATACCAAATCCCATAAAATGCATCAATAAAATGTGTGGTTTAACAAACCCGTGTTTGATGAATAGTTGGATGGTCAATGGGTTTTAGACCTTCACTTACGTATGTATATTATATATATATATGTGTTTTTCTTTAATATGTATATACCATTTTGGACATTCACTTACGTATGTATTATATATATATACCATCAAGTTGCTTTCCCCCTTTATTGCTGGTCTGTGAAAAAATCCCCAGCTTTTAAGGTTCGTTACTGGGGATTCCCATCGTTGATGATACCCTCCGGTGTCATCAAACGTGGGGAAATCCCGGGACATTTATAGCTGGGAAAATCATCTCCACATGTGGGATGTTCTGCCATGCTTGATTACCGGATGGTACCCTTTGGTAATAGGAAATTCATAGGAAAACCATAGGAAAATGGGCATTTCATGGGATTTATAGCTGATTTAACATAGCTATTGAAAATTGCCCATAGAAATAGTTGAGATTTACCGATTAAAAATGGTGGATCTTTCCATAGTTTTTTGTTAACGTTTACCGGATGGTCATCCCCAATTTTTTTGCTGTAGTCCAAACCCAATCATCAACCGACGGGATTTCTGACTCTTCATCTCGGGCCATGGTCAAAATTGGGCACCAGCCTGGGAGCTTAAAATTGATCTTTTTTACCATCCGGTAAACGTTTACAGAACTATGGAAAGATCCACCATTTTTAATAGGTAAATCAACTATTTCAATAGCTATGTTAAATTACCAGAGGGTAGTGTCAAAATTCACTGGTGAAAAATAATATGTCAGCCCATGGATCCATGTCCAATCCTTCTCACCCATGAAAAAATCCCCCTTCCATCTGAGCCATGGTCATGATCCATGGTCATTATGGGGTTTTTTGTCCAATCATGTTGGTAAATTCCATCTAACCATGCACTACCCAATAATAGTGCAAAAAATAAGTGGATATGGGTCCTTATTCACTGGTGAATCAAAATTAATTGGTTCAGAATCTTGACTACCAATAATTGCCGATCATTACAGAGTGGTGCCCCACTAATTCTAAGTTGGTCTGCAAACCACAGAAACTAGCTCGATATATCTACCATAAATCCAAGCATTATTGGAGCTATGTTCAGTAACTTAGCCATTCCGCACTGGGGCACCACCTTGTACCAATCATTTACCAACAGCTTGGAGCAACTGGAACAGCCCCGAGAAATTTCACCCAACCTATCAACCACCAAAGGGTGTGTGTGTATATATATATATCGGTATATAATCCCCATTAACAAATCATCATGATGCTTGATATATAATGATATATCTCCTCATTATGGCCCATGACATCCCACATCCCCATTCTATTTCTATATTCTATGATGTTTGATATATCCTATTGATTATCCCATATTTCGATGGTTGATATCTCCCATTATATATAATATAACTATATTCCCAGGATATTCCCATGTCCCATATCTTTGCTTAACCAACCGCACCTGCCAGGCTCACCACGTCGTCTTCATCGTAGTCGTCGTACTTCTCCACCAGCTCCGGGAACTCATCCTGCCGTCGTCGGATGGACGAAGTTCTTAAACAGTTCACCATGGCAAAATCTGGTGCTTTTACCCTCTGGTTATGACATTCACAGTTTGCCATGGTATAGATTTCCCATAGAAATAGATGGTTTACCTGGGTTTACCTAATAGCATGGTGGTTTTCCATGGCAAACCGTTAAATAACCAGATGGTATGTGCTTTCAAGTATCAAGGAACGGAGAGTTCAGCATGAAAAATCCAGGTGCCCGCAAAAATGCTGGTTTAACCCTGGTTTAATGGGGTTGAACATGGCATATTCATACTGAAATGGGGATATATGTGTACTGTATATGTAATTAAATATGTTGCATTGACGAATTGGGCTGGTTCCCCCCAAAAAAATAATATCATACTTAAATGGAAAGACCCCAATGCTCAACAGCCGAGGTGAACAAAAAACACAAGGGTTGACATTACCATTATGGCATTGTGGTAATGATAAGGATTAAACTGGTTGTCATAATATGGGAATAGGACTTGTCTGTATGACTATATTGTAAGAGAAGAGCATAAGAATTGCATAAACATGTTGATATAATCCTGATACTGATAATACATATTGTAATGATATGGTTGTGGGTTATACTAACTAACTATATAGCCACATGATATGATGTCATATACGTAGTGGGGGTGATAGTACAATAAAGATCTATGTTTATGGACAATGGATTATACTTGCTAACCGCTATAGTAATTTTGTTGGAAGAAGCTACATCATGGTTATGAATAATGTAGATCAGATCTGTTTATGGCACATAAACTGAGATCTTCACACATCTGATAGACAAGTTCCAGGATGCAACGGTCAACAGCAAATTGAAGTTCTGAAACACTGTGGAGAAAACATGAGAAAACACACGTAGATACTGCAGGTCAAAATCAAAAAGTTGGAGCTTCACCGTCTTTGATTTCAAGACATTAAAAAAGGCTAATTCATTCATGGTGTTTACTCTCAAGACTTCGTTTTTTTATAGGGTAATTTATATGGTTTTTTTGATAGGCTACATAATCCAATCAGTTCATCCAAAAGAATCCAATGTGGTGCAGTCTTAGACGACGAGAAGTCGTTCGCCACGAATCTGGGTGATGTGTTGAATAACATACTGTTGAAGAATCCAAAATCATATTGGAAGATATTGGAAGAAGATTGGAATATTGAAATATTGGAAGATTTTTGAAGATTTGAAGATTCTTCGACGCCCAGGAAGTGGACAGTTAAACATCGGGCAACAGTTGTGGCCCCTCTGCAACAATCGGTCAGAAAACGTGCCTGTCACTTTTTCTTTGGATCGTTGGATTCCAAACGACCTACTGGTTGCAACCTAGTTGCACAAATACTAATTGGTGGTTTTATCATCCCAACTATTGGGGAAAATTTCAAAAATGTATAAAAATGTTACAAATCACCAACCAGAATCTGTCTAAATCTTTGGTGCTTTGCAGAGCTCCAAGTCCATCGCTTTGTCCTCGTTGCTATCCCCAGTCGTCTATTTCAAAGATCCTATCGTGAAATGTTTACCCGGCCTGGTAAACGTTTACATAACTATGGAAAATCACCATTGTTCCTGGGAAAATTCACGAAAGAAATGGTGATGTTCCATAGTTATGTAAACGTTTACCAGAGGGTATTGTGTGTTTACCCATTTTGACCAATTCTTTTTAAGTTTGAATCCCATCTTTGGATGGTTGAATCCCAAAAATTGGTCAAATCACCATTTCATATCCTATGTCCCATATCAATATCCCATGTCCCATGCGTTTTTTTAATGAACTCCCACCTGAAATCAACCTCCCAATCCAACCCAATCCACCAATCCAAAAAAGTCACCCGCGCCACGGGCGCCACGCCGTCCTCATCAAAGAAGAGATCCTCTGCCGCATTCCGCGCATCGTCCTTCAGCGCTCCCTGGATAAGATCATCCACCACCACACGTGCGCAGAACTCCTCCAGATTCACCACCTGCACCGGGTTCTGATAACGGTCGAGCTATCAATGATGTTCTTTGGGAATCTACAATGCTATCAATGATGCATATATAATGTATGTATGTATGTATGTATGTATGTATGTATGTATGTATGTATGTATGTATGTATGTATGTATGTATGTATGTATGTATGTATGTATGTATGTATGTATGTATGTATGTATGTATATATAATGTATGTATGTATGTATGTATGTATGTATGTATGTATGTATGTATGTATGTATGTATGTATGTATGTATGTATGTATGTATGTATGTATGTATGTATGTATGTATGTATGTATGTATGTATGTATGTATGTATGTATGTATGTTGTATGTATGTATGTATGTATGTATGTATGTATGTATGTATGTATGTATGTATGTATGTATGTATGTATGTATGTATGTATGTATGTATGTATGTATGTATGTATGTATGTATGTATGTATGTATGTAGTATGTATGTATGTATGTATGTATGTATGTATGTATGTATGTATGTATGTATGTATGTATGTATGTATGTATGTATGTATGTATGTATGTATGTATGTATGTATGTGATGTATGTGATGTATGTGATGTGATGTGATGTGATGTGATGTGATGTGATGTGATGTGATGTAATGTATGTATGTATGTATATGTATATATATATATACATACATATATACATCAATACATATTATACATATTGTAGCATCATGATCATGATTATTATTATTATGATAATGATGATTATAATGATGATGGTGATGATGATGATGATGACGACGATGACGATGACGATGACGATGACGATGACGATGATGATGATGATGATGATGAAGATGATGATGATGATGATGATGATGGTGATGGTGAACATCTACAGGAAATCATGCAGCTTACCCTTCAAACATGGCTGGAAGATCACCCCTTGCCACGTTGATTACGGGAGGTTACATCTAAGTTCCTGCTCCTACGCATCAACAATGGGGAGTTGAGGTAAGATTTGAGAATTGGGATGGAAAACCTAAGCCTAAGATGATCAAAATGGATTGTTGACCCAAAAATAGGTTGACAACGACCGCCAACTAATGGCCATCTAATTAAAGGGGACAAACAATGAGAACTATTTCTGATTACTCTGGAATTGGGGATACCCCCAGCAGCCAAGACTTGCCCACAAGTACCGAGAAACTGACCGCAGTTTCTTTAGCAAGGACCTAGAAATCGAGATCGTCTACTGCTGATCTGAACATCGCAACATCTGCTGCTTGCATCGCTTCTACAGGCAAGTAATTTGCACATATTCACCAGTTATCATTCATATGGCAAATTCCCAAATGTTCACGATTAAACCCCTATCCATCATGAAATGAACATCCCATAGCCACCTTGGAAGTCTTCGCGGTATCCCTCTTTCGTCCGAGCACAGGTCGCTTGGCTGTGCCCGAGGGTTTTGGGCTGCTGGGAGCTTTGCTCTTGGAAAGGTACTCCATGTCGAACATCATGACCTTCTGCAGCCAAAAGTCATGAAATATCATTTATAGCAACACCCAAAAGGGTAAAGTAAAATCCGATTCTAAAATAGTGATACCAGTGATACTCGTTGAATTTGTCTTTCTATCTTTTCCGCGGGGTTGTTATACAGGAGGTTTAATAAAATGGGGTGGTACCCCAAATCATCCAAAAGTATACCATTTTCGTATTGAAACAACTGTGGTGACTTGGGGATCCCCCATGATTCGTTAAGAAACCCCCGTATATCAATGTCTCAGTCTGGTGATCTCGCCCAAAGATAGACTTGGTCTGCCCTGCTACTGTACATCAAATGGCTGTGTCCAAGAATGGGGCTATGCCAAGCTATTACCGGATGGTATGGGAAAATGATGATCAACCATCATCTTGTTTCATCATGATTTTCCGTCTTGGACCCCGGGTCCCCCATCCCGGCCACATGAACCACCAATCTCTTCAATCTTGGTAAAACTCTGGAAACTCCAATGGGGCCAGAGTATCTGCAAAACAACTTTCCTCAGCAATACTTAGGAATATCAAAGAAACCACATGGCCAATCTTAGATACCCTGCTTTTTCTGCTTGGCGGTTTTCTCTAGCCCACTGGCACCAGGTGACTCTGAAGTGCCGATGGTCTTGTGAAGGAGAGCGTGCGAAGGTGGTAACTACTAACAGCTGCGGAAGTGCGAATGAATGAGTGCAACTGTGAATGGCAAAGTGTTTTCAGAAAAATTGGGGACATGATGGTTACTGCTATCATTCTTGATTCCTGGTACCCTTATTCTTGTGGCATCAAAATTCATCAAAGCCTGTATCTTTGTGGTACTCACCGTAGCTGGTTGGTTGTTTCAACCCATCCCAAAAATATCAGTCAATGTGTATCACAGTCGTAACTAGGGCGAAAGATTTTTTTTGTAAAATGTGTGAAACCACCAACCAGATCATTGGCAATGTATCCATGATATCCCCATTATCTACTCATTTTAGATGGTTAATTAAATATCATGAAGTCATGAAGCCACCATTTTCATTATGAGTCGTTTATATATTCCATGATCCTAGTATAACCATATGAAAACTTTCCGAGTGATATTCCCATTATACCTCCACAACCATTTATCCCATTGGTAATATACCCATTGTGCCCCCATGACTCTAGTGCTAAATCATGATGAATCCTTTTATATTTCATCATCAAATGATACTCCCATTCTAATATAACACCATGATAAATCACAATTTTTAATGGGTAAATCACCATTTTTAATTGGTAAATCACTTCACATCCCATGTTGCCAAACATCAAACTGGTTCCCTGAGCTTGGCAGCTGGAGGCTGTGCGCACCCGTCTGCTTTGGGGCTGCATCACACTCAAAACGGCCACTAAGAGCGCAGCAGTTCACACCCACCTGGCGTCGCTCAGCCCGGATGGGATGGGCCGGGACGAGGAGCTTGGCAGACTGGGGAAGTGCTTGGTGTTTACCCATAGAAATGGAGCTTTTACCACGAAGAAATGTGGATTTCACCCGCAGCTTTGCAAAAGAACCCAGATTTTTTCTTGTAGTGGTACCCTCTGGTCAACTAACCTAGCTATGGCAAATGACCCCTTATATAACTGGGTAAATCATCACAAATCATCTATATCTTTCTATGGGCGCTTCCTATGCAATTTTTTTTTGTTTCCTGGCTAAATCATCCTAAATCACCCTCAAAGATGTAGCTGTCGGAAGACCCTCGAGTTGAATGGAGGGATCCTATTGGGATCAAATCCAACGGACACCTGCCACCAACCCCCGTGCCGTGCTGTGCCGCCCGGACAGCCCAGAAGTTCACTTCCTCCTTGGGCGCGGAGTGGCTGCTGATGGGCGCTGCGCAATACCTGGGCGATACCAAAGGGAGAAAGGGAGGTGTTGACCCTTGGTTTTTGTTAAGGGGATTTCTTTAGACTTTTATAGCGCTTCTATAGTTATCTTACCTTTAGGTTTGTTTTTAGAATTTATGGTCATCTATAGTTAGACTTTTGTGGTTTTAAATCAATTTTTAACCGGGGGACCCAGATTGTGCTTTGTTTTAGGGATGTCAAATAAGACTGAAAAGCCAACTTGGATTGGAAAATGGTTGAGTAGATTCGATTCCACCAATAGAGTGGTCTGGATGATTGGGGATATCGTTACAAATTGGGATGGAAAGAAAAAACGAAATGTATATATACAACAGGAATTCATCGACATGTTGTCCACCACGGGTTTCAGATTAAGGCTGCGGCCCTAAATCTGAGGGTGGTATGAGAAGAGTGCGATAGCAAGAAATTGCAAAAAACAAAATGTGTTGCCCCAAAATGCTCTAAGTCAAAAAAACAACATTCAAAAAAAAAACTCATTGTCTGTGAATCCCACAAGTGTGAAAAACATTGCAAATAGCAGCACCGAATGCTAAAGGGTAGGTCTTGGCAGGAAAAGGTCGTGCCATCTATATGTAGTTTTAAATCTGAATATGTATGTATATATATATACATGTATGTACGTATGTATGTATGTATGTACGTACGTATCTATCTATCTATCTATCTATTTATCTATCTATCTATCTATGGTTGGCAGGTCATCTGGTTGGCAGGTCATCTGCGCACACAAATCAGGGTCATCTGCGCACACGGAACCGGTTCATCTGCGCACGCATATCAGGTTCATCTGCGCACACGTTTCCGGTTCATCTGCGCACACATTTCCGCAAGCAACAATGGTCTCCATTCTACTTCTTTATTTAAACTTCCCCCCCCCTGCGTTCCACCCAACCATGGTCTCCATTCGGCTTCTTTATTTAAACTCCCCCCCCCTGTGTTCCACCAAACCATGGACTCCATTCTACTTCGCTATTTAAACTTTCCCCCCCTGCGTTCCACCAAACCATGGTCTCCACTCTACTTCTTTATTTCAACGTTCCTCCCCCTGCGTTCCACTAAACCATTGTCTCCATTCTACTTCTTTATTTAAACTTTACCCCCCCCTGCGTTCCACCAAACCATTGTCTCCATTCTACTTCTTTATTGAAACTTCCCCCCCTGCGTTCCACTAAACCATGGTCTCCATTCTACTTCTTTATTTAAACTTCCCCCCCTGCGTAGCAACCGGTCTCCACTAAGAAAACATGACAGATAGACGTAGCCCACTGTAAATGTTTCAATCGATGCCACAAAGGTTGCTACGTAACAAGCCAAAATAGAGGACACATTGAATGCCAGAAAGCAAGAATATAATGTTATAAGAATGCCACGATAGAATGTGGAAAAATATGTGCCATATATACTCCCAGATGAGCTGTCAGATACTATCACTGAATAATGTCACGGCGGGGGGCAAGCCAAGTAAAGTAATTCATACATTGCAGAACCTACGAACATCCGGGCTTCACCCCGCCTGGGTCGCTATGACTGGTGGCCACAAGGACATGACGCTGACGTGGCAACCTGCTTCTGGTGGGACTTCCGATGCAGCCAGGCTCATTCTTGACGACAACAATCTTCCAATTACTAATCCGTCCAAACCACTCGGGCCTCACCACGACCCATGCCATCGCACACCATTGCCTCTCGCTGCACTGACAGTCGAGATGGCTGCCAGACAGCAAAAGACCGTCTTTCATCAGCCATGCGACAGAAACTAACAGACTCCTGCAACGCGGCTACGCCAGCTGGACTGATAGGAGACAAACGCTGCCGAAAAGCCTCCAGAGCAATCAGAACCAATGTGACCCGACTCTTTCTCATGCTGTGTCTTACAGATTTGCAAATCCATGGAAAGCAACATCTACTTCAGGTCCATATGAAGATCTACACATGACACCTTGCGGCTCATATCCGCTCGACTGGCTGCACTTCGCTGGCCCTCCATGCTTGGCCTAGCCTCTTGACCAGTCAGCCAGCACCTTGACGGGCTCGACCGCGAAACCTGGCAATTCGAATCAGGCTGACGAGGTCCGGACAAAGTGACGGTGATTCAACAACAGATTATCCACATATCCATGGAGATTTCACAGCCGTTCGCGGTCGGCAACTCTTACTGGCTTCGCCTCTGCACTTTGATGGCCAGCCGGTAAGAACCCTCCAAGGCCCTCTGACGCAGCCTGCAAAAACTGCTTTCTGCTGGACTTATGCATCCAACAATCACTATCTCATCACCCGAATGCAAGACATCTTGCAACGAACCTCGGAACGTCTCTGGCCAGGAGATGAAGCAATTGGAGGGCTCCATGCGGCAACCTCTGTACCCAGAAATAACTTTTTGACATATGGCCATGGGTGATCTGCCCACCTCATCTGCACAAGTCAATGACTTCGCGACAGAGTCCGTGCGAACGTCAGCGTCTGACCCAGTGGCCTGAGCAGAATCTAGCTGTGGGAATGACGACTTCACGTCGCTTGCGGATGGTGACTTCATTATTACGCTCAAGATTCATATCACCTGGGAATGATGACTTCAATGCTGGCGCCATCCCACCTCCATTCTCCTGAATTTGAATGGCTCTGGGGCGTACCACCTTTCTTCTCTTTGGTCCTGCGCAAGGTGACTGTGACAATTGTCATTGCTACATGAGTTGCGCGTAGCTCTCCTGCTTTTCCATGGTGCTGTCCGGCGTGCACCAAGGTTGGCCGAATTTGTACCAACCTTAAACCAATTCAAGATGTCGGGTTGACGGGGGTGGGTTAGCCCCGCTTTCACCCGTTTTGTCTCGTCTGTTTGTCAAATGCAACGTGCACATGATCAAAAATGAGCGTCCCGCTGTGGAGAAATGGCCATTTTCACAGATGTCTGTGATGTGCAAAGATGTTGGCAATGAACATCGAAAGCAAGTGCACACGAACGTTAACACAGCCCCACCCCCCACCCCCCCACCCCAACCCCAACCCCCAAGACTTCTTCGCGTAGCATCAACATCGAAAACAAGTGCACACGAACGTTACCACAGACGTTCTGATCGCAGCATCAACATTGAAAGCAAGTGCACACGAACGTTACCACAGACATTCTGACCGCAGCATCAACATCGAAGGCAAGTGCACACGAACGTTAACACAGACCCCAGGCCCACCCCCCAACTCCAACCCCAAAGACGTTCTTCGCGTAGCTTCCACACCGAAAGCCAGTGCACACGAACGTTAACACAGACGTTCTGGGCGAAGCATCAAGCATCTACCCAATATGTTGCATGATGCATGCGCGAAGGTGTTGCACAGCACCGCTTTCATTGATCCATGAATTGAACGACAAGGTGCGTTTGTAACCCTTGGTCCATGGGCTATCTCGATTTTGCAACGGGCTAGGGATTCACGTAGAGCATGGTCTGCATAGCCTTAGCAAGCAGCCGGAAAGTGGGTGACTGTCTTCAGACTTGATCAACTGCGACTTGACAGCGAGTTGACAATGGAACATGGATGCTAGTAGGCCCACATGCTACTGGGCCAGACCATAGACCGCAATCCGTTAATCCGACAACACAGGAACTCGTAGTGATCTAAAGACAATGAACGAGATATACCAAGCATCTTTGCAGCAATCGTGGGCTCCCAAATTGCACGGTGGCAGATGAGCTACTCAGTGATACAGCTCCTGCGTGTACCGCCACCACCCTCTGCATTACTAATTGCCGCATGCCTATCTCCACTGTCG